GCCCGTTTGCTGTATGTGTTTTTTTTGTTTTCCCCGCGCCCTGTTGGTGTTAAAGGGAATCTATTACTGGAAATATGTGCTTTTTGCGTTGGCCTGAAGCAAATGGAAAAAAACCAACATTCAAATTCACATGACATTTGGGTCCAGCCATGCGGTTGCAGTTTGATCAAGCAGGCCAGCCTACCCAGGAGCATCATTGAAGCTGATATGACATCTGGGTCAAAAATAGGGTAGTCCCAAAATGGGTTGCCCTGGTAAATAGAACCAAGGACAAACCTGCGGTCCCCTGGTGGTTCAATTTGGATCCATCTGCCTATTTCAATGCGAGCTCACCCTTTTTTTATACGAGCGAAAGCCATCGTAAAGGTTCTTTGCTTAGGGATGCCTCAATTCAGCCTTTGGAATTATCACAAAGTTTGCAGAATCCATTGCATGACATCTGGGTCCAACCAAGTGGTTGCACTTTGAGGGGTTATTAAAATCACACAAAGGGGTGTGTATGTTCAAGAGTTGGAAGACCCTCGAGCATGGTTGAATCCATGTGTACTTCTGAGGACCCATCACCAGGGTTGCCAGTTGAAACTTGAGCCAAGGCAGTGGACGGAGTCACGGGTTTCCTGCAAGATCAGCTCGCTGCTGCGGACCAGCACCTCACATTGCGCCCGCAGAAAGAAATGGAGGCTGGGCTCCAAACGCTGCAGGTGGCCGTGTCAGGTGGACCATGTCTTGGTGCCCTTTTTTAGCTCACTTCCTGAGTTCCTGGACTTTAAACTTTTTGGAGCTGGACCATCTTTGTGGCAGGCAAGAAGTTCTGGCTTTTCTTGGCCCATCAACTCAGGAAGTCAGTATGCGCTTTAGCCCGGTATTCATTGGGTTTCAGGATCGGCAAAAAAGCACGCCAATAACTTTCTCCTATGCCAATTTTGTTTTTAAAGCGTCCTAACTCCATTCTCAATATTTAGACCCTTGTGTTATGCTGAGCCACACCTAGGTATTCAAGTATCAACAGTTTGAGACAGAAACCTAAGGCCATTTTTTGGGGGGGAGCGGGGGATCCTGCAATTTGAGACCAACTCACTTTCATAATCGCTGCCTAGTACCAAAGTGGCCTGCAAGCCAATGTAAATAATCAAAAGGGTACATATCCGACTTATGGTTGGGACTATCCCTTCCTTGCCTTCACTTGTCCGGGCGTTGGTTGTGGCTCAAATTGGTTTAAACAGATGTTGTCAATTGTACTTTGGGATCGCTGTTTCCGTTGAACCCTGTTGGGTAAAGGCCAGCTGGAAAAAACATGTTTCAACAACATTGTGCGTTTATATACAACAAAGGCCCCGTGTTGTTCTTGTCCAACAAAAAGCGCTCCCCTTTACACATCAGGAGTTGGCCTCACCTTGCTCAGCGGATTCGTCGGCTTGTGAGTTGTGTCGGTTTGTATCAGCAAGCTTTGGTGGAGGTCAATGAAGCATGGTTGGAAGCACTGTATTGCTAAGTTTTATTAAGTTTGAGGAGGAGCTCTGGGCAAGTGGATGCGCGAACACACCCAGAAAAGCTGCATAGCGGAGAACAGAATCAATCTGAAAGAGCATGACAACACAAAAGTCAATCTGCAAGCGAACAACCGCCAAACGAGCGGCGCAAAACACGCCCTCTTTGCGAGGTGCCTGTTCTTTTCTTTGGCAGGGGAGGGGGGGGGGGTGGGGTGGGATCCGTTCTTTTTGTTCCTACGGCTGGTTGTTTTGCTAGGGTTGGTTGCTTGGTTGCTTGGTTGCTTGGTTGCTTGCTTGCTTGCTTGCTTGCTTGCTTGCTTGCTTGCTTGCTTGCTTGGTTGGTTGGTTGGTTGGTTGGTTGGTTGGTTGGTTGGTTGGTTGGACCGGGGGGGGAGGGTGGGCTGTGTGCCCAAGCGTGCCCGCTACCACGTACTCCGTGGATCTCCTCGCAGGCAGAGGCGGCCGTTCTGGGTGTCCAGGCTCTGCTGAGCGCCACCTGCCAGCGCAAGGAGCAGCAGGCCCAGGCAAGTTGGGCAGGTTGGGTCGGTTGGTTTGCCGTTAGATGAGACTGGGGTAGCAAAATTGGAACTTCAGGTTGTGAATTTGAGGCGTGTTTTTCCTTTGGTTTAAAATTGGATGGCGCTCCCTTTGGTTTGAATTGGCGGTGTTTCCGTTGGTTTCCCTTCAGCAAAGTGGGCAATGCGCTGGTTGAAAGGTGTTTGGAGCAACGCAGGGAGTTGGCTGGGGGTGCATTTGGTCTCCCCTTCCCGTGTTTTCCCACAGCCAGTGGGCCGTAGCCAATGGGTTTGGGTGCAACCGCGGTTTGAGGTTCCTCTTGCCCTTGGAGGTTCCGCGGAGATCAGTGATACTTCTTTGGCACATAACTCAGAGTAAGAGATTCCAGTTTTTGAGGGTACTCCTTTTGGTGGCATTTAAGCGAAACCAAAAGGGAACACCGCCATTTTGGGGGTCCCCAACAAACAGACCGTTTCCGTTTGCCCTGCCCATTCGTAAGGAACCCCGAATGACATGCTAGATGATGGTCTTGGATGTAAAGCCCAGTGAAAGAGCACCCAGTGGGCCCTCACCCTTTCTTGCTGGTGCGATAGGCAGAGAATGAGAAACGGAATGAACCTGGGGATTCCCTTGAAGGCAACCACCAGTGGGGCGGTTGCATGTTTGAGATGACCGGAGACTGGTGCGGGAACGGCATGGGAGGCTCCCACGTTGCCTCGGGAGGTGTTTGGGGGGATAGAAAGAAGCAAGGGGGGGGCAAAGCAAAGAAGCCAGGAGGGGGCAAAGTCTCGCAGCACTGGAGCCCCAAAGACAAGTTGCTTCTTGGTGGAACCCCCGACCCACTTGGAATGAGTCAAATGATGGACCGCCTTGCGCGGGACGTGACAGGGAAGCCGTTGCCAGTTGACTGCCCTTGGCAATACAGCAAAAGGGTTTTTCATTTTCCCCCTTTGCAATGATTAAATCCAGCAAACCAGGTTACTCGTTTTCGCCTTTTCGGATGTGCTTTGTCTTACTCTTGTCCAATTTGCGGGTTCCTTTGTTATTCCCTTGTGCCTTTTTGGCATTCTTCAGGTTTACCTTCTGCCATTTTGGCCTTTTTGGAAGTCCTTTGCCTTTCGCTGTTGTCGGGTGTGCTTCAACTCACCATGGTTTCCTTTGTTTCCGTGGCGGATGTCCTTCAGTTTACCCTTGCCTTACCCTTTTGCCTGGGCTTGTCTTGTCTCGCCTGCCTTGTTTGCCGCCTTTGTGTTCATCTTCCCTTTTTCCCCTTGCCGTGTTGGGCCCTTTATCCTACCTTTCTGAATTTCTGGCCGTGTTGGCGTGTTGGTGCCCTCTACTGTTGCCCTTCCGCCTTTGGTTTGGTTTCGTTTTAGCCTTTCCCCTGGTTTGTGTCCGTCGCTTTGGCGCATTTTGCTTGGATGTTAGGACTTTATCTGTTTGCCAACTAATGGGTTTTCCGTATCAAACCACTAAAAGTGGGCATGTTTACGCCTTGCGTCTTTACGTCTTCCCATTGTAAGCAACCACTCGGTTACGTCAGGCGCTGCAGCAGGCGGTCGCCTCCCAGGCGCGGTAGGAGAAACAGTGGCTGGCTGAGTGTGTCCCTTCCTCTCACCTCGTGGGGAACTGTAATCCTCTTTCATTTGCTTAAGGATATATATATATATATGTATGTATGTATGTATTATTATGTTCTCATATGTTTGTTTAGAGAAGAAGCAAACAAAAGGAAAAAGACGCCGACACATCTCCCCTGGTGGGTTCAAAGGCAATCGATCATTGGCTAGATGTTCCTCGTTTTTGGCCGGGCTTCAGATGGATGTCCTGGACACATGAAGGGCCACAGGCGCAACTCTTCCGCTGAAATCTTTTTGTGGTCTCTGCCAAGTCCGGAGCCGGAACAAGCTGCGGGGGGTTGCCGCGAAAACATCTAGGCTTATCAGTTGCAAGTCTAGTTCGCGGCTCCTTGTAGCAACCCAAAACGCATCCCCTCAATGAGCTCCGGCCATCTTTTTTCAGCAGAAGGGCAATATGTGGGTGGGACACGAGAAGTTCAAGGACAAAACCAGGCAACTCAGCAAGTGCGCCGGGGCAGCTGCGGACGCATATCTTGACTGTGGCTCCTGTTTTGGACGCGTGGAATTGCAAGCACTGTATGGTGGATGTACTGAATAGGTTTGTCTCACAATGTGCGGGCTGCCGGCTGACACTGGGAGCTTGCAGACTTACCAGGAGGTTCTCTTCTGGAGAAGTTGTCGTCTTTCCCCCCCTCCCCATAAATCGCTGCGTCGCACAGACACTGCGCACTATTGCAAAGGCAAAGTGGCGATTTTGGAAGATCCCCTCCCCCCCCCCCCCTCCCGGTTTGACCCTGAGGAGGCGGCGGCTGCCACTTGCGCGGCGCTAGAGACGGCGCTGCCCAGTGTGGTGGCGGAGGTGGAGAGGCAGCGCCAGCAGGAGGAGAGGGCTCGAGACCTGACGGTTGGGACACGTCGGGCCGGCGTCGGGCGGTTGTTTTCTTCGTAAGCTCTGCCAATAGCTGTCCAACCAATGAAAGGGCACCCCCTTTCAGTCCCCCCCTTAAAAGGGGGCAGAAGCAAGCCCCGAGCCTGTCGCCATGGAACCAAGTTGCTTGAGGAAAATGGGGAACCAGGGCCTTTCGTCATTCTTCTCACGGCTTTGATGTTCAATGGCTGGTGGTGGCAGAAATCCAACTATTTAGATGGTGTCCGCCAAAGGGCCCCGCTTGCGTCTTTTTTGATGGTAATACTACCTTTTTTCACGAAGGAAAACCAATGGTAAATCGCCTTTTGCTAGGGGTTGTTCCATTTGGAGACAAGCACAATGTCCCTCTTTGAGGGACTGTCAGCGTCACTGTTTTGTGAGAGGCCAATTCATGCGGTAAGGCACGTCCTTACTCCTTTGGCAAGGCACGTTGTTTTGGGGCTTGCAGGAATCCAAGCGAAGGTCTCTCTAGATGAGGTCTCTCTGGCAGGGCGTGTGTGGCGGCGGTTTCTTGGTTATGTTTGCTGGCTAGAAAAGCAATGCGCTTTCTTTTTTTTGAATTCCGGGAGGAAGCCAAGGGATCAGAACATGTCTAAAACTGAAAAACTTTGAGGAGCAACAAAAAGTGGATTCCAGACTTTTGGGCAACACACAGATCAGTGTTCCAAACGTTTCACCTGCATCACCCCAATGGACAACGCCCTTTTCCATTGGCTCAAGGTGATGCTGTGTCTCAAACCAGGGGACCTCCAAAATGCCAACAGTTTGCCTTCTTGATTCAGAGCCAACAACAAAGGAATATGTTTACTTGCAATCCTACACAATCACACATACACACAAGTTGGCGCTAAATTGCTTTAACTCACCAGGAGCCAAGCAAATATGGAAAATGCGCCGGTTTGTTCTGGTACGGGGCAAGCTATTGTTGGTTCGCCCCGAAACACATGGTTGATGTCCTCGAGTCGTAATGAAAACTTGGCATCAAAGTGGTCTGGAGTTTGTCCGCACCTATGTTTGGCACTTGGCACCGTCACTAACATTCACTGCCCGGGTTCTGCAAGGGAGTGTGTTGCTTGCACATTGAATACATGGAAGACTCCGCTGGACAGGCATGAACCCTTCCTTGTCAGCTCAATCACTGCCAATTTTGCATGGGGAGGTGGACAAGATGGCAGCCCTGAACAGGTGTGCTTGGAAACGAGACATCGGAGCCTGAACGAGGCAGGATTTTTGTCGAGCGGTGTGTGTGTGTTTGTTGTGTGTGTATTTGTCAACCAAAATAAACAGCTGGTAGAGTATGCATGGCATCATGTTGAGATAGCAACGAAGCAGGGTGACTGCCCCTCATCTCCCCGTATTTGAGACACTGCTTTTCGGTAGATTTGTTTGCCGGGTGCTTGCTTCGGCATTCTTAGTCTCATGCCCCGGCTTTTGGGGCATTCGCTCCTGATAAAGCGGCAGCGAGTGCAAGACTCCTTTCCGGCATTGCAGTTTCCCTCTCCGTGAAAGCTTGTGATGGGGCCAAGATGCATCAAAGACCATGTCTGGCGATTCTTCGAGGGTGGCACAAACCGCAATCGCTTGAAACGGGGGGAGAGTCGTGGACGTGTTGTCCTCCTTCGTGGCGGCCCATTTGGCCTCCAAAATGTGCGCAGCCAGTAGAGAAGAATGGGGCTGTTTGGGTGCGGACAAGAGTGTCACAAGCGATCTTCGAGTGCAGCGGCAATGACTGGCCTCCTTTTTTTGCCATGATCAAAGTCACCCGCTAGTGGGTTAAAGGGGAACGACCAACCATTTTCTGACTTTGATAACCCCCAGAAATTGTGAAAATAATGAATGAGGGGCCTGGAATGAGCCCTAGAAAAAAAAGAAAAAAAACATCCGACTGGTATCCTTGAAGGGAATTCCTAGGTTGATTCTATTTTGTTTATTATATAGTAACTCCTTATTCTGACGGCGTGATTCCCTTCAACCTAGGGAATACTCATTTCCCCTGGTGAATCGGGGACCCTTTGGTGGACATCAGCTTGGTGGGGATTTGTATGCACCAACCACTTTTTCGGGACCCAGAATGACTCGACGGCGTTGCTCTACCTTTGACTCGGCTCAGGCGCTGGAGCTGGTGGCCGCCTGGATCTTGGGCAGCGCCATCCCCGGCCGCGAGGCGGCGCTTCCGCTTTTCGGACGACGGAAGTCCGTGTAGATGACGTGGTTGCCGAAGGCCGGCCTTTTGACCTTTTAACCATTTTGGTCCAGTTTTAGTAAAGGTCCTAAAAGCTTAATGTTTTGGGCAAGTGAGATGAAGGTTTGCAAGGGATAGTCCCAACCACACTGGAATGGGGTGACGCCTCCTTAATCATTTACATAGGTAGACTGTGTTGATACCGATCGGTTTTGATTATGACTCGATCACTTGAGCCGTCAAAACTCCGGGTACGGTGAAGGGGCTAGATTCCGAGTCACCAGGGTTCGATTCTGACGCACGGGTTTTGGACGGAAAATCGGTGGCCCCAAGGTTTCCCAGTTGTTTTTTGGGGCAACTCACGAATTGCCTGGCTCGCTTTTTTGGAGGATGCCCCTCATGAATTAATCAATTGATTTTGGGTTCTATGTAGTTTGTGCAATACCCGTGTTGACCTTCAGGGACGATTCCGCAAACAAGAAGTTGGCCAACAATGGCAAATGAGCAAGTTGGCGGGCTCACACAACCAGCGATTTTATTCGTGTGAGGTTCCCTTTGAGTTGCCCGACAAAAAAGTAACAAGATTCCTTTATGGACTAGGTCCTTGGTTCTTCCCGTTTGATTTGCGTGCACTTTGGAAGGGGGTTCTGGCACTCTTGGCAATCGGTTCAGGCGGTTGCGGCTGTCCTTCCCGCCGCGGCGCTCGGACATGCTGAGTCTCAGGGCGACCACGTTGGATCTCTGGCCACAGCTTTGGGAGAATCACAGTGCACCCAGCAAAAGGTGTCAGGTTTAGCGGGTTGAAGGCGAGAACGGCCACAAAGCGCCTTTTCAACTCCGACCTGTTGAAGAGAAAGTGTTCTTGGTTCAAACATGTTTTTGGGGGCATGTAGTTTTATCACAACATGTTTCAACGCCGCGGCCAATGCGCCGTTTGGCTCAAGTATTTACCACGGCAAACCACGCCGCCATAGCGACAGTGGCTGCCTGCGGCGCCGTACCTCGTCTTGCTCTTGAAAAAGGGCAGGCCGTGGGCTGCGGCGGTAGGCACGTCTCCTGGTTGTGGGTCGGTGTTTGTGTTTGGTGGTGTTTGCATTGGTTTGCTTTGCTCGTTCGCTTCGCTTCGCTGCATTGTTTGCCTGCTTGGTTTGCCGCTTTGTGCTTGCTTTCGGTTGTCTCTGCCCTTGCTGGGTTCATTCATCTCTTGGTTAAAGGCACCCTGTTTTGGTTCGTTTGTTGTGCCAGCCGAGGGCACCGCTTTGCCCTTGGGACTGGGGGACTTAAACAATCTCTTCTTGTTGGTGGGATTGGGCCTGTTTATTCTCTCCCGAAACTCTGTTTCAAACCCTTTCGCAGGTTATCAGCCGTAGGATTCGTCCTCGGTTGGCACCGCGAACCCCATTTAATAACAACCCTGCAGGCGCCGTTTTCCATAGGCTACTGTAGGACTCATGGCGGGAATCACCGAGGATGGACCTCATGTGGTGACCGATGAGTGGGTTCTCGGCCAGGCCGGAATCTTGGACGTTGTGAATGACGACCAAGTGCCCGGACAGCCGATGTTTTCCGGTCCTGACTTTTTGTCGGACCACACTTTTTCAGAAGCAATGCCTTCAGGAAGGTCCAGTGCTACTCGCACTGATGACCTATCGTCTAATGCCTCAAGAGCTAATCGCTCTCAGGGTCATGGGGCTAATCGTCCTGACCATGATGATTCCGTCTCAGGACGTGATGATGACGAGCCCGGTATTGCACCTGGAGCTCAATCCTCATCTTTCCCGGAGCTGATGAATATTGGTCAGTCCGAGTTTCGTGACTCTCGAAGTAGCAGTAGACCTGTGCCAACCAGTAGTATAGTTTTTCAAGCGCTCGGTAATCCCGAACCTGGTACATCCAGTGGAGTTGCATTTGACGTTCATCTGCCGACCGAATCCGGTGGGCTCGATTGGAGAGCCTCATGGCCCAACGACGGAAACATTTTTGGTATGGATTTTGCCGCATGGATGCCAGGGCCACCTGCCCCGTCATCTTTCCCGCATTTCCAAAGCCCAAAACGGGCTGCTGGAAGCGACGAATTCATGCTACCTTTGTCAATTGAGAATCTCAATCCTGACGTGGCCAGCCGTAACGTCAGGCCGAGGCCGTCGGTAAACCCGACCATGAGGAACATGTCCCCTCCCCCAGGACTTTCAGGACTTGAGAGCCCTAGGGAGCGTAATATCGTAGATAGATTGGATTTGCATCCCAGTCCAACCCCAAGCAAACGATCGAGGTCAAATTCGACTGGATCGCATAGGGCAAGGGGGATGGATCGGGAAACTGCCCATAGGGGTAACCCCAATACGCGGGACTCAGGACGCGGTCGATCAGGTGACCCAGCGTCGATCGTCGGTAGAGATCCGCTAAACGCGGACACGTTGATTAACGTGCTTGATGGGATCGAAGCATTCCAGGAGGAATTCAATAGGTCGAGTGGCCCGAATGTGCAGCCTTTTCGCCCTACGCCCAATGCGGCTTCCTTTCTCGCCATTGACAACACAGACGGAGCTGATGTTCCGATTGAGTCTGAATCCATGATGGCATCAAGTTCCAATCACAACAACACCGTCAGCAGCGCTACCGATGTTGAATCAATGTCTGAGTCTAGAGCGTCCAATGCGACTGATTTGCATGACGTTGTCATTGCTAATATGAAGCCTGAAGTTCCTATGCGGACTGATAGGCCGGTAGTTCCCAAATTGTTTGTGACAAAGGGTCTAGGCATGCCACAGCCATCAGCTGTTCGTGATGCCAGAAGATCTGCACCGTATCAGAGTCAGTCTCCGAATCGGAGCGAATTCCCACGGCCATCAACGGCGGTACAAGGTGATTTCAGGACACCTCCGAGATCTAATCCGATCATGGTTGATTTGTCCACTCCTCGAGATCGCGGATCAGGATTTGGTCCTGCGAGTGAGGAGCAACCCAACGAGGTTGCTGATCTTGTAACAGCCCTTGAAAGAGGGAGAGTGGACTCTTCGGTAAGTGCGATCATTCATCGCCTGGTTGCTAAGGTCGAAGACCTTGGGCGTAGGAATGATAGAAGTGATCAATGCATCAAGCAGCTCTCCACTGAGGTTAACTCGTAGAGGGCCAAATACGACCAATGCATCCATGTGAATAGCACGTGTACGCAGGCTGCGAACGCGGCCATGCAGCTGTCACAAGGGACTAAGGACATCGTGACCGAGCTTGGCCAACGCGTCAAGATCGTTTCCAATCGCATGATAAGCATAGGCGATGCCCTAAATGAGCGAGCCAGCTATGATGATGTTGCTCGCTCCATCACCCAGGTTCAAACTGTTTTTGAATCTCTTTCTGATCGAGTAACCGGGCTTATAGCTCGTGTTGATATGATCGAGAGATCTCTAGTGGAGAGCCAATCCAACCATCCTGCGATTGGTGGAGTAAACCTCAAAATCGAGGACTTGTCCACTAGGGTATGTCAGATTGATAGGATGATGCAAGATGTCGAACAATGCTGGACCAATAATAGGGACGGCATAAAGTGGGTTAAAGACCAACTTTATGAGACACAAGCCAACCTTGAAATAAAGTCAAGGGACTGCAAGTCCTACACGGACAAGCAAAATACTCATAACATGGCCGTTTCGACTACGCTCAACAGTAAGCTCGAGCAAATGCTCGAGGTGCTGGGTAATACGGCCCAGAGAATTAACTCCCTCGAGTCAAGGCACTCGAACCAGGCATCAAGTAGTGGATTGAACGATCGCACAGGAGGAAGGCGTGCCGCGTCCCGTACTCCGGATAAGCGGCCACCTCCACCTGGTCCTCCTGATGGTGATCCTCCACCACCTCCTCCTCCTGATCGGCAAAGCCCAGGAGGAGGGGGGAAGAGGAGTGCTGCCGGTGGGAACCCTGGCGACCCTGGTAGACCCAGGTGTAAATACGTAGGTGATGGAAATAATCACCTCATGGCTGAGTTTCACTGCAAAGGATGCAGAGGTGATATTTGTGAGTATTGTTTCTCGTTCAAAGAGAACTTGTGTGAAGAATGTTCCCGTAACGGACCCCGATGCGGTGTCTGTAGGGAGAGCTCGTTCCTGACTAAGGGAATAGAGTGTCAGTTTTGTAGGACCTACTACTGCACCAGACATTCTGCTGGGCAGGATGACTACAGGAGATTTGGATTTGTCCAGGGTCCCTGTTGTCTTGCGTGCCTTAGGGACGAAACTAGGAGAAGAAGGGATCCCGATGGTAACCGTGTCAGGAATAGATCGCGAGGCGCACCTGAGACGAACCCGACGCGGTCGTACTCGCCGCCTCTGCGGCCACCCGTTGACAGATTCCGTGACACTCCCACTGGGGGTCAACCCAACGCGGCTGACCTTCAGAGCCCTCCGAAGGCTACGCAACCCGTGCCCCTGGATAAACGTGAAACCGGATATTATCCAGGATTTGATCCCAACGGTACAAGGCCGAAGGATCCTTCAGGCCTTGAGCCGCCGACCATGCGTGGCCCCGATCCTCCTGACAAGAACTGTCGGATGTGTGATCGGGATATTCCTGACCCCAGCAAAATTGGGGAATGTAAGATATGCATGAAAAGGGCATGTGAGATTTGCATTCCGAAGGCTACTCGCCTTTGTCCTGTATGTGCACTGTCAATCGGTAGTTCTCAGGTTCCACAGCATCTTTTCGGAACTGGTGGCGGCGGATACAGTAGCCACCATGATCCGAACTGCACAGCTGCGACTAAGTGCATTCCCATAGACCTCCCGCCAGAGCCCGACGCGGCTGGGCTGAGGGTATGGATAGCCAATATGAAGGAAGCTGTTAGCAATGCCTACAGCTATGATGGACTTTACGTCATCAATTGGCTAACTGAAAGAAGGCAAAGACCTTTGATGAACTGGATGGGGAATGTAAATACCACATCCTTGAAGCCAGGTTCAATGCAGCCATTCGGAAGTGCATCAAGACTGTTGCCATCATCGATAAGATTAATCGTCTCACCGAAGCCGCTCAACGTTCCAACAATCGCATCAAGAGTAGGCAGATCCTGTGGCTCTTATACGACCACCTAATAAGGACTGCGAATATCGGAGAGCAATCGTTCAGGATAATCGAGCTCTCAAACTTGCGACGCAGTGTGTCATCTTTCTATACTGAAGAGGAGCGACTTGAAAGGTTCATCGCGAAGTGGGATCACATCCTTGCGGGTCTCGATGAACCGCTGACCGAACAGGTAAAGCGGTCGCTATTCAGTGAGAAGGTTAGACACCTCAACTGTTTGGCTCATGATATCAGGGAATGGGATAGGAACATATCCAACCCTGACGTTTGTAGCTATGAATGGCTTCGTGCTCGTTGTAAGAACGAAATTGACCGCTGGAGGGTTCGTAAGAATCAGGTCAATATGCACAAAGACTTTTACGAACGATCTCAGTCCAGGGACAGAGCCCAGAAGCCTGGTGCTCCTGGTCCTCCCGTCAGGAGACGATCTCCGTTTGGAGATTCCCATAGGCCTAATCGGCCTCCTAGTGATCCAAGAAAGAGGACCGGTAATACCCCAAGTCCTCATCGAAGGGACAAGTACTCTCCCAGGAGTCGGGAGCAGGACATGCGGCGTACGCCTAGCCCTAGGGGTGAGCCCCCAAGGAGGCCCAGATCTACGTCGCCCGGTGCTCCTGCGATTGATGCGTGCAGGGACTTTGCGCGTGGATACTGTTCGCGCGGACAAGAGTGCAAATTCGCACATACAAGAACTGGGAGTTCCGATGCGAAACGCAAGGAGCGTCCTC